TCGCATTTCTCTCACTCCGACTTAATAAGATCCCTATGCGATTTACTTCCACACATGTAAATGCCGACCCTAAAGTAACAGTTGCCAGCACGGTATATGGCTTATCATTAATCATTATAAGCGATTGGCTAAGATATCTATGGAAGATTCAGTTTTCAGATTATATTTTTTTGCAAATGATACAACTAGAGAATCTATCATAGAGATCCGATTGGAACACAATAGATCTACAGTGTATTTCAAAAAACGAGTGCCATCTCTCGTGGGGAAATTCCTCGCGTAAAAATAAGATTTATTTTTCATATCAACATAGGTCCGATTCTGCTTTGTTTCGTAGCTACAGGGTGTTAAAGTTTCAATAATCCTTTGATTTATTATAATTTTATTCCAAGTACTTTTAGTGATTCGAATGAAATTTTAAGGATAAAAGTTACTATAAGTGCTACATTTTCTAATGCTAGAAAAGTGTCGATAAATTCATCAGGGACGTGCATATGGGTTAGCACTGGAATATCTTTCAAAAAAACATGTGCGCCACTGATTTTTTTCTTTTGATATCAAAATTATGTAGGCCGTTTAATGCCAATTAACGTTAAGTTATCTCTTGATAATTTGTCGAATTCGGCCTGCTTGATGAGATAAACGCAATTTTATTAATCACAATTAATAAAATTAAAATAAAAATAAAATTAATAAATTATATATTTTACCTAATTTATTTTTAAATATTATTACTATTAGTTATTATTACTCTTAGTCCAACCTACAGTAATTTCAAATAAAAAATAATAGTATTTAAGATAATTACAAAAACCTAATTTTAAAAAGTTTTAACATCCTGTAACTCTGAAACTATGCATTTCCATACCCATGTTTATAGGAACTTTTTTTCATATTTTTTGATGAGGAATCAATGAGTACTTATTTAAAATTTTTAGAAGTTAATGATATTAAATTTTTTTAAAGGTTGCTGTTAAACTTAGATCAAGGCAAATTAATAAAATGGCGTTTATCTCATCAAGGAGGCCGAAATCGATATAATATCAAGAGACAACTTTTAATCGCAATTGAAACACCCTGTATAGTTCAATAGCCACCTCATAAATCTATGGAAAATGTCACAAGGAGGGCGGTGACTACACTAGCGGTAGTCAGGAAAACGACTTCATGGAAAAATCTGGAGCTTCAGACCACAGATGGTGCACTGGCTGTACACTGGAGTGGTGAGGCCTTCAGTAACATATGCATCCTTGGTATGGTGGCCTAAGGTGGCCTAACAAACAACAATGCTCAGCCTCAGCAAGGTGCAAAGACTTGCTTCTCTGAGCATAACAGGTGCGATGAAATCAACGCCCACTGCATCAATGGAGGCGCTTCTGGACCTTCCGCCTCTTCACATAGTGATCCAGGCGGAGGCAAGAATGGGACTCTATCGACAACAAAGTGTCTTGTCTCTGGGAAATAGGACAGAAACAGGACACTCAAAGATGGGAAATTCTATCGGAGGACCTCTATTCCAAATGAGATCGGACCAAATGACTCCTCTTTATCACTACCACGAACCGAATTCGAGGTGAACAAAATGGATCGAGGAATGTGGACAGATATAACATTCCTTCAGGATGGACTAACCTGGTATACAGACGGGTCAAAGACCGCTGAAGGAACAGGAGCTGGAGTATTTGGGGAAAGACCAAGGGTAAGTCTATCCTGTTCCTTGGGTAAACACTCAACCGTATTCCAGACAGAAAAATTCGCCATTCTACAATGTGCGAGAGAAAACAATAGAAGAGCTTATTCAGATAAGCTTATCAATATATGCTCAGACAGTTAGGCGGCACTTGGGGCGCTTATGAGCCCAAAGGTATTGTCGAGACTCGTCTGGGAATGTCTAGGTGAACTGGGGCTCTGGCTCGAAGGAACAGAATTAAATTATTTTGGGTGCCGGGCCACAGCGGCATCCAAGGTAACGAAAAAGCCGATGAGCTAGCTAGGCAAGGATCATCAGCATCCTATCTTGGTCCAGAGCCAGTACTGGGAATACCCAAATGTATGGCACGTAGTGCACTAAAACTCTGGATCAGGGAAAAGCAGAATGTCCACTGGAGAAATAGACAGGGGCACAGGCACACCAAGGCTTTTATCCCAGGATCTAGCTCTAAAACCACAAAAGAACTGCTAATGCAGGAATAAATTGCGGATTACAACAGGCCTCTTGACAGGACACATGGCTGTCAAGTGTTACCTGAACAAGCTCAACCTGTATCAAGGAAGTCTTTGCTGCAGACTCTGCGATAAAGATCCTGAAACAGCGGAGCACATAATATGTCACTGCGAGGCTCTGGATCGCAAACGACACTTTTTATTTGGGAAAGCTAGGCTAGAACCGGAGGAACTATGCTCCCATCCTATCAAGGACCTGCATAAGTTAGTGTAGGGCACAGCAGGGATAGGAGAATGGGTGCAAATATAGAAAGGGGACAAACACAATAGGCCTCACAGATCGCAGTGTACGGCCCCTTATTGTGAAAAAAAACTCATAAATCTAAAATATCTATCTATATCTTGATACCTACTAGGTTTATATTTTTTAACTTTAAATCCTCCTCCAATAAAAGAACACGTTGTCAACTTGACGAAAGGTCCTACTCTACTGTCTGTAAATTTCTAAAACAATCCTTAGACAAGAGACAAGGCACTGAGTTTTGTTTTAATACGTCCATTTATGTTTGCTAAAAGGCTAGTATTACATCTCCCCCTCAAATACATTTAGTAGATTAAAAATTATAAGTCGATAACAGGTAGGGAAATATACCGGTCTTGTGTGATGTAAAGGGTGATCCATTAGAGAACGTCTACTGTTATTCGTGAATCGTTAATGATAGAGATATTTATAGGTAAATCAAGCAGGAAATCGCTATAAATTATTTTTTACTCCATAGTAATATTTATCTTTATATCTTTGTTTCATAGATGTTTTCATAGCAACTGTTAAAATTGCCTTATATCCATAGACAAACAAATAAAAAGAGACTGGCAAATTAAATGGCAAAGAGAGGGACAACGTTCCCGTAGCGCAACTCAGAACGCAAAAATTCGTTCTATTTATGTTGATCTGCGCATTGCGTCTATTGGGCCCACTATCTCATTCTAATATAACAAGAGAGAAAGAGGCAACCATATAAAACGTAATTTCTAAATAGAAATTAGAACAATCGCCTTTAGTTTTCGTCATCATGACAGCCAAGATGACAACATCATGACAATTCGTCATGTTTGTTAATTTTTCTTTTGGTGATTTACCTTTTTTTCTAAACTCTCCATTTTATTGACTTATGAATATGGATAGGGAACAAATTTCTATGTTCCATATAGGTATTTATATTTTGTTACTTATAATTTTCGGTTATACTATTTGTTATTTTATTTGCTGCAGGATGTATTGGTGTCCCCTTTCTCTGATAGATATGTTAAAGACACCCGGTAAAATAAAAGTAAGTAGTTATATTTATCATCTTATTAAGAAAAAAGTAGAAGTAGTAGTGTCAAAAATATTTCGAACCTCTCTTAACATAACAAATTAATACAATTAATTTTTTTCATTTTTTGGGTAGTTTTATGGCTGGTTTATAGTAACCAGAAATTTTATTAATATACCTATTTTACTTTTGTTGTAGGATTAAAACTGGACTTGAAAATGGTTCAGGATCATGATTCTCGTAAAGTCTTCTTTGCTTGGATATTCACTTTGTTATTGCAATTTTATTAGGCAGTTTTTTCGAAAATAAGATTTTTAATGCCCTTTATAAAAAAATGGCCGATCGTTTCCTGCAACAGTCAGTTCTTCTGCATTTAAAATTGGTAGGTGGGTGGAATAAACACTGTTATTTTGTTATTATATTATAAAAAGTTTATTTATTTTTATGTATAAATAAATATGTTTATAAAACAGTACAATTTTTGCTTTTTTTTATAATTTCCCTTGTAATAGTAGTACTCTTTCGTTCTGAAAGAAACTGCAGATTTTCACTTAAACTGATTTATTCCCTACACCACGTTCTCTTTACGTGGTATAGGGAAAACATCAGTTTAAGTGAAAATTTTCAGTTTCAGAATGAAAGAATACTACTAATAAAGGCTAATTTAAATTTTCCGCCAGCCAGAATGTGCGATAATGTCTTACGATACGTTTTATACCTATCTCTTTCTTTTTCATATAAAGCACACATAATAAAGAAAGATAGCAATAGAGACGTACGTCCTGCCATGGTCCTGCTAATTTGTTTCAAAATTGTTGTTCTGAGTTGCGCTACGGGAACGCGGTCCCACTCTTTACCATGGGATTTGTCAGTCTCTTTTTATTTGTTTGTCTATGCTTATATCTATCAAAAATATTAGATAAAATAGTACTTTAACAGCAAGGGTAGATTAAATGATACTTTAACAGCGAGGATAGGTTAAAAACTTTATTTCTTCTCGCGCGTTTTTTAATTGCTTCCATTTTTGAAAATTTTTGTATTCCTTTTCATAAGTTATTCGGGATTTAAACGGAAGTAGTTTGGATATGGCTTTTGTCGCCTCAGCCTGAATATCTGTTGGTAATTTACTTATTTCGTTTTGAGCCATTTCTGGCTCCAATTCAATCAGCAATCGACACGAAAGAGAATTAAAAAATATTGACTCAAAACTGACAACTAAAGAGACAGCTTTATTTATTTGTCAAATTACATAGAAACCAACGCCAACCCAGCACAATATTTTTTCTACTCGTAATAAATTCCTTGAAATAATAATTTATGAATATTTTTGAAAACGTAACTCGCTAGGAAAAAAATATTGTTTTATACACGACGATAATATTGCATTATCGTCTACAGAAATTAAATTAATCTTTTCGGTCGACGACGTCTTGTATAAAAAATAATTATCGTTTTAAAGGCGGTTAGATATATAGAATTTCCTGTTGTACAGCATTTCCGGTACTAGAACTAGGTACTTACTTCGAGGATCTCGTCTCCGATCTGTATGGATCCGGTCTTGTAGGCCGCTCCATTCGGATTGAGGCCGCAAACGAACACGGCCATGCAGCTGCGGTCCCTGTGACCCGCCAGGCTCAGGCCCAGGCCTGCCGAACTCCGTTCCAACTGTACCATGAGGATGTTGTGGCCTAGGTTGCCGTACTTCTTTTTCACTTTATCTGCAACAATGGAAATAAACGTTAATTTTAATGCACCAGGTATAATATACCCACGTTTATTTAACTCTGCTCTTTACGGTTCCTGTGTAAAACACAAGATAAAACTCTAAATTAAGTGAATCCTCCTTTAAGTAAGTAGTATCTATACTATTGAAGATTTATTTTTAAAACGTTTAAAGTGCTATATTTTTCTTATTTTTAGCCCTATTTTCATAAATTTTTTAGCAAGCTGTATATAATTATACTAGCGTGTACCAGAGACTTCGTTCGCGTCGAATTAATCATTTGTAATGGTGATGATAAAGCAAAGCAAGTATTTCCATTAACATACAAACTGGATCAAAATTTTCTCACATTTATGTCAGCATGAGAAAAAACAATATGGCGATAATATTATATAACTTGGTAATATTTGAAGGGTATAGTTTCATCTCGTTTGAATTTGACGTTCGAAAAATCCGTTTGCCAAAAATAAGCTTTTTACGTCAAGCAGTTTAAGCAGAATCGTGGTTAAGAAATTACCCAACTTTTTGGAACACCCTGTATGACTTTTTAAAAACAATCAAAATATGTAAAAAAAACAAATAAATTATGCTTGTCCAAGCGTTTTCCCGAAGGACTAACCGTTTTTTAAATAATAAATATTGTAATATTTGAGGGGCGTTTTCACCCTCTTGGAATTTGAGATTCGAGAAACCATTCCTTATCGAATCTCTACACCCCACAGTCAATCCGTTTGCCAAAAATCAGCTTTAAACGTCAAGTAGTTTAAGCAGAATCGTGATTACTCAATGGTCATATTTTATAAAACACCCTGTATAAATTTATAAAAAATCTTAAAATCTGTAAAACAACAAAATAAAATATACGTGTTTAAGGGTTTTTCCGAAAAACTCACCGATTTTTAAATGAAAATATTTTAATATTTAGTTTCACCCCCTTAGAATTCGAGTTTCGAAAAATCCCTTCTTATCGAACCTCTACACCCTAAAGTCAATCTGTTTTCCAAAAATCAGCTTTTTATGTCAAGCGCTTTAAGCAGATTTTTCGAAACACCCTGTATACATTTTTAAAAAATCTTAAAATATGTAAAAAAACAAAATAAAATATACGTGTTTAAGCGTTTTTTCGGAAACTTGACCGTTTTTTAAATAAAAAATATTGTAATATTTGAGGGGTGGTTTCACCCTCTTGGAAATGGAATTTCAAAAAATCCCTTCTTATCGAACCTTTACACCCTAGAATCAACCTGTATGCCAAAATTGAGCTTCTTACGTTGAGTTGTTTTAGCAGGAGCGTGATTAATCAGTATGTCAGTCACTTAAGGATTTTTATATATTAGTATAGATACAACACAAAACGTTAATGTTGTTTTTGGCAAAATGAATCATCTTTTAAGTAGGCAGTATCTATACAGTTATTGAAGATTTATTATTGCAAATATCTTGAACTAATGGAAATTACCATTCAAACAAAAACACTTTAGAAATCAACACATAATATATGCATGCCATTTAGTTTAAAATCACATGAAAAATATATTGATTCAGAAACAAATATTTCCATTGGGATATTCCCAGGAAATAATAGATGTTTCGTTCCATCAAAATTATGAGTAACAAATATTGACAATTTTTAATAGATTCACACCGGACTTAGTAGTCATTTTAGTTAATAACTATTTTATCCATTATCCTTAATAAATTTAGTAATATATTATTATTATAGAATAAAATAATTATAAGAAATAGAGTAATAGTAGTGAATAAGAATTATCCTTTAGAAATGCCACTGGAGCCAGTATCTTTATATAGAAAACTATCTCTCTGTAGTAAACAAGCTGTAACATCCGCTCCGGCAATAAAATTGGACGTAAATTTTTATTGGGCACTTTCAAATCGGAAATGTCTGTAGGAGATAGGTTCCTGCCGGCACTCTACTTGTTATACCGGTTCAAAACAGAAACGTTCGAAATTTGAAATAATTCAATGTAATATAATTTATCCTCAATTTACAATTTTGTTCTACAAGCGCACAAAAAAGAAAATTTTGCAGCTGCAGTCATAGAAGTGTACGAAAATTATACCTCAGTCCTACTATATGATCAGTTGTAAGAAATAACAACAAAAAATATTTATGTGCACTATATGCGCATATTTAAAGTTGAACTTCTTATTTCCGTCTATTTGTCTGTCCGTCTGAGAACTCCATACAGGTACCTCTATCCACGTGCCAAGTTTGGTTTCAATCGATCCACAATTAAGAAAAATCCTGATGATTTCGTCCGTTTAGAGGCAACGATCGGTTCGAAACGTCGAGGGCGTCATCCTGTAGCCCGTCCTCAATTATGACGAAACCGACACAGATTTTTCTTTAATATCGAATCCTTTGTTCCACCCTGATGAAGATGTAAACGAAACGTCGTATCCAACTTTGCAGGGTGGGACCGTGTGCACCACATAGCCTAACCTAACCAAATTAGATCGGACGAGATCAACTTTTGACGTTTCTTATGTCAAAATTAACTGTCACAGTGACACGTGTTGCACACGGTTAAGTTGGCCTTGGTTCAATATCTGTCTACATTCTAAATTTCATTTGAATTGGACGACAATTTGTTTTAATTTGATTCATTGATGGATGGGGTTCCATATTTTCAAGATTTTGTTGTCTAGCTATGCAACAAAGAACCTAATAAGTATACAAAGACATGTACAATTGTTTGATCAATAACAACGGATCAATAACAGACAAGACAGAATAACATACCATAAAAGTATGCTCTTTGATAGAGACCTTCATTGAAAAGGAAGTAGCAAGAAACTAGAAACAGTAAGAAATAATAAAGATTTAGTAAAACTCTAGGGGCCTTAGGCTTCCGTTTGCTCCTTTTCTTTTTCATTATCCTTTTTTTCCATCTACTAGGTTGCAGACGGTGCCTCGTGCATCGTTTGCTTCCCGGTTTCTATTTTTAGGGATCGTTGTCATCGCTTGCTGATTCCTTACCGTACTGATGATGCTGCAAGGCAGTTACACTAGTGTACACTGATGTGTAGGTGTGGTTGTTGTGTGTGTGTGTATGTCCACAATAGTGTACAGGGTGGTCGAAATTGGTCTGTTTTAATAGAGAAAACATATTTCCTGACTAGATAGAGCAAAACCGACATAGATGTCATGGGCTCGAATTCTGAGACACGTTTAATGGCGTAAACCGCCTGTTGTAATTTCACTGCCAACTGAGATACGGGGTCTTTTTGAATTTTTTACCATTTGGAAAATTGCCCATAACTTTTGTATTTCGCGGAATAATAAAGTTCTGTAAAAACGTTTTTAAGATACTCTTTTAAGCACAATCCAGTGGTGTAGTCAGTTTTTTTTCTATACGTGCTGTTTTTGTCAGAAATAATAAAAAATATAATTTTTTAAATGGAAATCATAGTTGGCTATGAACTTAAAAAAATGGTGGCGTTTAACCCTTTCCAACGATATAAAGTTATGTGTATTTATTTCTAAAAATGAGAGAAATGTTAGGTTTTTTATCTTTGTATCGAAGCTGGCCTTGATTCTGTGTTGACCTAGTTGCCTAATTTTATCACAATTTAATATTCTATATTTTATTTATCTTCATAATTAAAAACTTTTGAAAAGGTAAATCAACATTCTATATTAGTATTACCCATTATAATTAAAACGCCAGGGTTACAACTGAACTATTAAATGGAGAATTTGGAGAGAATTGGATTGGAAAAAGTGGCCCCATATCTTGGCCTGCTAGGTCCTGTGATTTAACCCCTTTCGATTTTTTTATGGGGGAAATTAAAAGACGTTGGGACGAGAGAAGAATTGCAGAAGGCTACTAGGCAAGCTTTTGGACTTATTACACCAGTTCGTCTAATAAGTCGCTGTAACTCTGTGCGCAAAAGATGTGTATTGTGTATTCAAGATGGAGGTGCTGTTTGAACTAGCGATGGAAACTATCGAATGAATTAGACTATCGAATGGTTACTGAATGAATGATTTCAACTATCGAATGGTTTTATTCGAATAAAATCATTCATTCATTTGTATACTAAAGCATATGTGACAACCTCGGCGTGCAACTAAATGGTTATCGTTGAGCCACGACTATCGAATGCTTTTGATAAATGAAATTTAGTATTCGTTTGATTTTTGTGTACGTCAGTGCATTATTAGTTCTTCCAAATTTTTATAACTTCACCTTATAAATACTGTGCCAATTTTGGGTTTATTAAAATATTTAAAATACTAAAATAGTAGTTTTTTTTAATTGACGATGCGTGTGCGTGTGTCAGTGCAGGTGTCAAAATTTTTCCGAAAATTTGTGTGATTTTCCGTAGCCCGATCTTTCAATTATTTTATTTTATATGGTATATATGGTCTATTTTTTAATGGGAAATTTTGAGAAGTAGCAATTTTTAAGAGAGATGAGATAAACTTAGAATTTATTTTAAAAATACATATTTGTATTTTAGATGTTTTAATAATATGAATTAGTTGAACTTAATAATCATATTTAAGTAATGTGGTTAAGTAAATGGTTATCGAACTCAAACTATGGGGTGAGAAAATTAAATTGAAAGTTTTACACGTGCCAATTTAAAAAAAAAGTTAACGATGTTTGTATTTTATTTATGCTAATTCTCTTACATGTAGTTTTTTGCGAAGAAATATTTCATTTATTTTTTAAAGTAAATGCCAGTAAAAGTAAATATTATTTTTAAATAGTAATATAAAGTACCTAATATAAATAATTTTGATTTCTAATTTTTTATTTATATTTTCCTTTCATTACACTGCTTAGAAAATTAATAAATGTTTATATTTCATGATTTTAAAGTTTGTTGTTAATATAACAAATTAGTTCTGTAATTATTATTATTTAATAAACCAACGTTGCCACACAAAAAATTTAAAGACTATATTATTTTTAAATAGGATCTAATATAAATAATTTTGACATCTAATTTGTTGTTTATATT